GAGGCGTTTTTGTTTATAAACAAAAATGAAAAAAACCTGTTAATTTATTCAAATCATCAGCGGCATTCATTGCGTGAGATGTAAATATATGGCGATGATCCTGCAAGGGCGGAGACATTTCTTCCTTTTCAAATACCAGCAGTGATTCATGCGCTGCCTGCCATGAAAACCATGTTTGGAATGTTGGGTTGAAGTGTCCTGCAGCTACAGACCATACCTCAATAAGGCCGCATATAATTCACATTTGCTATCAAAAACGCGCACAAAAAAAGAAAAAACGGAAATTAGTGTGCCTACCGCTATCTCTGTCTTAGCCTTCGCAACGCGAGCAGGGCGAGTGCGGGAAACATTTTGTCCTCAGCGTGACGTCACCCCCGCTCGCCATAATGGGTCACCACCCAAACTTCTCGGGGTAATACTCTCACCATACAATGCACCTAGTATTTGTTTGGCCCCTGGACATGAAATCTTCCTGAGTTTGCCATTTCATCTCACCGGGGGCCCAATTTTGCTCATCGAGATCTCAGCCGGCTTGTTCTGAGAAAGAAAAAATACCGCTTGCAGACGCATCATCTGCTAACATAAGGGAATAATAATATGTTTGTTTGCCCACTAGGTATCATTCTCTCAAAGAAACAAACAACGAACACACTGACAAGTCATCTGTGAACAGAGCGAAAGAGGGACAATCGTCTGCTACGAATTGTGTGCCGCGCAGAGTGAGATCGAAAACTAATTGAAATATGAAACATCGGCTATATTACGGCCGCGACTGTCGTCCTCTGCTTTGTTTGGCTATGCTGATTTGTTTTCTGGCCGTGTGTAGCCTGACACCCACTGGTGGTAAAACGACAGCTTGGGACAAGCACCCACCTTGCCGCGATATCGATCTTACTATCCGAAAGAAGGTGAGAGGTATTTACCGAAAATTTGCCTTGTCAACAGCTAAACGAATTGTCATTGGTCGACACCGCCCGTCTGTGGCATCATGTCCAATCACAGTGCGGGCCTAGTGAGATCTTGATCGCGATCTCAACAATGATCAAAATCAGGCCCCAAGAACAGTTTAATCTTTCTCTTTTGGCGCTAGTTCCCTGTGTCTGTGAAAGTGCCTATGTATTTGCAAATATATGTAAATTGAAAATAGAAAGATGAAGTCAATTTTTGAAATTATTTATTGTGGGCTGGAATTAGGAGAAGTGTTTTTTGAAAATTTGGTTCTGTCATGTTTCCCTTCTTTGACATTCGGGCACGTATATATTCCTGCTCTACTTTAAATTCCAGAAAGACTAAAAGTGCGAGACAAAGATCGAGCCAGTGAAGGCGATGTCGGAAGGAGTGGCATCCATCATCAGTCTTGCCACCAGAAAGGTTTTCAGATGCAACAAAGAGCTGCTGGAGCACATCACCGTGATTTCAGTGGAAGGTGCGAACTGCGAGCTCCTGAAGCGTAAGCTCCAAGTATTGTATTTAATTGTTGAGTGCCTTTTCCATTGGCAAGAAGCCCCCAAAATTTTCTAGGAACTCCCGTAGGGTTTTGTTCTTGCATTTTTATACTCGCAACTCATTGACATTGCCAATTTCGTTTTTCTAGCCAGGCTTAGCTGGCAAGCTGAGCAGTGAGTCTGAAACTGCACCATTGTTTCCGGCCAGACTGTCTATTATTATTTATTGTTCTTCCCTGTAGTCATGACAGGTGCTTGAATGGTAGCTCCTACTTTCTACACGTGGGTCCTAGGAAACATTCCGTAAGTGATGAGGTGCCCACAATCATGGGCGTCAGCAAAGTGGCGCATGGGGGGGGGGCATTATCCTGGGAGTGGAGCTTTGAGCCCTATAACTCAAGAACAAACAACGTTTGACCCCCCCCCCCCCCCCCCCCCGCTTTTCCTGCAAAACGTACTGGAGATGCCCGTGCCTGCAATCTAGGCCATCGGTTTTGAAATGAGGGTCGGCGGAACCTTTCCGTGAAGGCATTTTAGGAATCCGCAAAACCCTGCCGGGCAATGCCTTTTTTTTATGATTTGGGGCATTGAGTAGAGCCCAGTCCGGCCACGACGCATTGACAGCCCCGGGAGCACAAGGAATCTACAGAAGTACACCTCTTTTCACCCTTCCTCCCCGTTTATTCTTGGTAAACACGTTTGCAGTTTACCTCCCCCCTTTCCATTTTTTTTTTACGCTGCCTGGGGTCCCTCATCACTTCCGCCGTTCCAAAAAGGGTTCTCTTGCCACAATTGGCGGCTTCCCTCTCTTCTCTAAAGCATCCTTTCTGCTAAAGTGGAAAGAGTGTATACGGATCTTTCTCCCCTCCCCTTACCGTCTTAACGTGCTACATACTATACTCTCGGGAACAAGATTATAACCTTGTATCTTTTCTGCCGCCACAAATGCTGTGCGGGGAGTAGCTTAGCATGTTTTTGGCAGAGGCTTTTGCCGCCACCGCACGCCACGCTTTGAAGTGGAGCGTCACGGTGTGTCCATGCTACAGTTCGCATAAGGCTACTTTCAAGCTACGTGGATGCAATGACGGCATAAAAAACACAAGCGGAGCGGGAAAGACAGCAGGTTATTAATAGCACTGGGTAATTCGCAATAAATAACAATCTAAATTATTACTGTAAAACCGTTTATTTTCGCAAATCGGTCACAAAGGACATAATCACGGCCACTAAATTTTGCGAATTCTAGACGCCTGCATTGAAACACTTAAAGAGACCATGAAGACAATTTAAAAATTTCATTTCACGGCTGAAATGGGCGCCCGGCACGTCTCAGACACTGTTGACCAAGTTCCAGCCTGAACAGAAGTTTGGGTGCCGCACCGATCAATTAGATAGTTGTGGTAATATTCGCGCCGGAAATGATGCCCGAAACCCTCCCCCCCACCCGCAAGACGGCGGCAGAAACGTGAACTAAAGTGCGCCGTCGAAGCGTGATGACAACGGGCTCCTCGTCAGGAGATTGGTTCAAACGGTTCCAACGAATGACGCACTCTTGGATTCGAATTCGGTAGTGAGATGTCATAAAAAAGAAAGTTACTTGAACGTTGTTTTTTTAAACTGTTAGTTCGGAATTAATAGGTTTCCTAGCGTGTATAGGAATAGGTTTCATAGCGTGTATAGCGTGTAGAATGACATGTCAAAACCTGCACAGCTTTATGCTGTGCAGGTTTTGACGTGGTGGTGTGTATGTCCCTTTTGTTTCCTTGTCTCAAGGAAACATGATTTTGACAGCAGATTTTGAACCCTTCTACTGCACACCTTTCTGATCCAAAACTGACTTTGAGACCCACCCAAGCAGCACGTTGTGAATGGGCCATCGCTGGCAAGTGTACTATGGCCAACCAGATTTTCGATGGCCCAAGCTTGGCCAAAGTGCTCGGCAATAGCAGTGTTTTCGTCCTCGTCTGGTGAGTTGCCATTCACTTTACGCCAGTCGCTGGCCATTCACTTTAGGCCAGTGACTGGCCATTCACCTTTGTCCAGTGGCTGGCCATTCCCTTTAGGCCAGAGACTGGCCATTCACCTTTGGCCATGACTGGCCATTCATATTTGGCCAGTGAGTGGCCATTCACTTTAGGCCAGTGACTTGCCAGTCACCTAAGGCCAGTCACTTTCGGCCAGCCACTGGCCATTCACGTTTGGCCAGCCACTAGCCATTGACTTCCGGCCAGTCACTGGCCGAAAGTGGCTGTAGTTATACACTTAATATATAATTTATCACAGACCGCCAGAAAATTTGGGTGTTGCTCAGAAGACTGTCAAGAGTTTCGGGAGGTCAAGTTTGAGAACTCAACCCCAGAAACTTTTACATAGTAATGACACGCGAAGCTGATGCAAGGCTGCTCAATATTTATTGGACTTTTTGAGTAATAAGTCTTACGACGCTGGTTGCGACCACCATTCCAGTCGTCGGGGGTTCAGGGATGGTATGTTGTCCCACCATTAAGATCCCCCGGTAGTGCAGCAGTAAAAAAATAAAATAAAAAGAAGTAACTTTAGGTGAAGGGACAGTGCAACAATAGAGAGTTTTAGTAGATCGTTCCGATACCTCCGATAGCCCCGATAACGGTACTATGGATGCGCAAGGGAGGCGGTAGCGGAGTATCGGGTATCGTTATCGGAGTCATGGGAGCGATCTACTAAAACTCTCTACTGTTCGGTTACAATACTTTTCACTTTACACAAGCTTACTGGCACTAATGGGAAAGAGAAGCCTTGAGTACACAGTAAAAGTTTTTACACACTTAAGGGTGTAAATCAGTTTGTCCCTGGGCTAACACCCTTATGGCGTTCAGGCAAGCACCCTTCATGAAGGGTGCTTGGCATGAAATGAGCACCTGCTGGGGTGACCCAGTGGATGCTGGGCCACCCCAGCCAATCTGGCGCCGGGAGGGTGTCATGCGACGTTTTGGTTATGTGGAGTACAAGGTCACATGACGCTCTCTCGACGCTGGATTGGCTGGTAGCGTCCGCCGCGCTCGGACGAAGGGTGAAATGAAGTATAGACCCCAGTGAACATTTCATTGGAATGTGTCCAATACACATATCAGAACTTGTAAATTGTACAAAAATCATATATGGTATTGCATATTCTTATATTATTATTACGTGATTTACAGCTTATCATGTTTACTGAACACATTTACACTTTTTTCACTTAGAGGGATTGCCACATCACCACATACGAGGCATGTGATAAAGAAATATTGAGTCACACTAAACACAACTCGCTTCATGAAGTAATACAAAAGAGCTCCTTGCAAGCCACATCATAACCCCGTGGGCAATTGGGAAGTGCTACGGCACCCCCCTTTCTCAAACTCTAAGTAAGCAAGCAATGGCCCCAAGCATCGCACTGCATGGCTGAACCATTGTGAACATCATGGTCTACCACAAACGAAGCATGTAAAGCTTTCCTGTTTGGAGATCAAGTGACATGTTTTGTTTGTCTCAGAGGATTGCAGGCAACCCACGCTTCGCTTATCACTTGGAGGAGAAGAGACGGGAAAAGGGGAGGAAAAGTCAAAGGGCAAAGCCCCTGCTTTAGTGGAGAGTAGGCAGGACATGGAGGGCAACGTGATCATAGCAGGGGACTCCAACATGGAAAGGTGCAGGAGGGCAATAGCTGAAAGGGTGAAGGGGGACGCCAGGGTCCGGATTGGGGTGTTGCCTGGACAGACAATGAGGGCGGTGATTGAGGGGGTGAAAGATAAACTATGGGAGACAAAAGAAGGCCAAAACCTCGTGGTGATAGCGGGGGGACTGAACGATGTATTACGAGGGAACGGGGGAGGGGTGGGGAAGCAGTTGCGCAGGGGAGTGATGGAGTTGAGGGCGACATCAGACGATGTAGAGATCCATGTCTGCACAGTGCCAGAGGTGAGGGACCAGGGCGTTCACATCGAGAGAGCCGTGGTGGCCGCAAACCGGGACATCAGGAGACTGGGAAGGGAGATGGGTTTCGGGGTGATGGACATAAATTGGGAGGTGCGCAATAACAGAGCGAAGGCTTTTGAGGGGACCGGTATCCATTTCAGCCCCTACGTGGGAAGGGCCGTTGGGTGGCGGATGGCCGGGAAGGCGGTGGCTTTTTTAGGAGGCCCCAAAGCTCTAAGGGCTAGGAATCCTGCCAGGAGCGAGGCGAAGGGCCCGTAGGAGAGGGGAGGTGGGGTGGGCACATCAGAGAGACACCGGAGGGCAAAGGGGTAGAGGAGAGCAGCAATGTGGGTTTGGGGGAGGTGGCCAGGGAGGGTGGGAGGAAGCCACGCAGAAACAGGAAGAAGAAGCTGCTTAACATAGCTTTCATAAATATGCAGGGGGGCAGGAACAGAAGAAAGTGGGAGGAGATTGAGGAGCAATTAGAAAGCGAAAACTTTGCAGTGTATGGATTAGCAGAAACACATCTGAGGGATTTGGAAGAACCACCACACATACCGGGATATCATTGGATGGGATGCAACCGGGCCAACGGGGAACGCAAGGGAGGCGGATTAGGGATTTTAGTGAAGGGTCAGGAATGGGAAAGGGAACGAGAGAACTGCAGGGAACACATGTGGATCAAAGGCAATATTGGAGGTTTAGACACAATCCTGGGTTTTGTGTATCTAAAAACAGGGAGCGATGCAGGGGAGGAAAACGCAGTACACTTAACATGCATATCAGGAGACGTTAGGGAAATCGGCACTAACAAGGAAATTATCCTGGGGGACATGAATGCACATTTGGAAGACTTTGATGGACATACGGATACAACAGGTAGGATGTTAGAGGAGTTCTGTGAAGCTCTTGATCGGGTATTGGTTAACGCCCAGGTAAAATGTGATGGAAAAATAACATGGGAGAGAAAGAACTCACACTCGACTATCGACTACTGTTTAATGTCACGGAAGATATACAACAGACTTGGAGGTATGGAAATAGATGAGGAAAGCACAAAAAGTCTGGGGAGCGACCATAAGAGAATCAAGATCAGATTTGGCACAGTAAAATCAGAAACGCAAAATCAAAAACAAGAGGGTAGAAATAACTTAAATGATAAACAATTACAGGAGGTATCTAAGCGGATCGAGAACATAGTATCCAAGCTACCGGAAAGAGAATGGACATATGAAGACTTAGTTACTGTTTTCAAAAGAGAATTAGAGAAATATCGAACCAGACAAGGAGGAAGGAAACATAAACGCAAGCTCAAAAGCTGGTGGGATAAAGAGGTTAAGGGAGCAATATCGAGACGCCAAGCGGCATCTAGAGAACACAGATGGGCAAAAAATAAGGGGGCCACTCCAGCCGAAGTGACAGCAAAATGGGAGGACTTTCAGGAACGAAAGCGGGAGGCATCAACATTGATACAGGCCAAAATTGGGAGGGCAGGGGTCCAGTGGATGATAGAGATAAACCAAAAGGATAGGAATGCGGCAAAAAGGTTCTGGGAACACATCAGTGCACAGGGAAAAAAGACTGAGGAGTACCAGCAGACACTAATCACACAGGAAGGGACAAAGGTAGAGGGGGAAGAGGCAAGGGAATACATTAGACATACAATCGAAGCAGCATTTTCAGAGTTAGAATCAGATCAGGCCATAGGGAATAATAGCATCTACACAACACAAGAGGAGGATCATAGTGAAGGAGAGGAAACGACCATAGGGGAATGGGAGAAAGCAGAAGGAAGGGTTCCGGCTGGAACTGCGACAGGTCCAGATGGCATACCAATGAGACTGATAAAAGATCTAGGCCAAACAAGCAAATTGAAACTAAGGCAGGTGATTGACCAGATACTTATGGGAGGGGAGGTACCCAGTGACTGGAAATTGAGCAGAATGAGATTATTATATAAGGGCAGGGGAAACAAAGACAGTATCAAATCATACCGACCAATCACAGTAACTTCAGTAATATACAGACTAGCTATGCAAATCGTAAAAAGAAGAATGGAAGAATGGGCAGAGAGAAAGCAGATTCTGGGGGAGCTCCAAAACGGTTTCAGGATGGATAGACGATTAGATGATAACTTGTTCATAATCACTCAGTGCATAGAGATAGCAATGACAAGCCAAAGGCCGTTATGGGTAGCATTTTTGGACATCAAAGGGGCATATGACAATGTGAATCAGGAAAAACTTTGGGAATAGCTAAAAGGGTATGGCCTAGGGGGAACCACGGTTAAGTTCCTAGAACGGGTTTATACGGAGAATAGGGTGATTATAAAATGGGAAGCCGAAACTACAAAACCAGCAGCAATAAAAAGAGGTCTTAGACAGGGTTGCCCATTGTCTCCCCTGCTCTTTATGATATACCTCAGTGAGATGGAAAAAAGATTAGAACTGTGCAACCTAGGTTTTGACCTGAATTACATGGAGGAAGGACATAAGGTAAATCAACTATTGCCAGGGTTAATGTATGCAGATGACATTGTACTCGTATCAGAAAGCCGTGAGACAATACAGGAACTGATTAGAATTTGCAGCGGGGAAGGGGACAGTTTAGGACTAAAATTCAGTAGACAAGTCGGGTATAATAGTTTTCAACGATGAGAAGGGGGAACCCCTGGAGATATAGGACACAGTGATAGAACACGTAGAAAAGTACAAATATCTAGGGGTCTGGCTCAATGAAGGAAGGAAATATCTAGAGGAACAGGAGGAGAATACAATTAGAAAAGGGAAAAGAAATTCATCTATTATGAAGCTCAAGGCACTATGGAACTATAACAGATATGAAGTGGTCAGAGGTATATGGAAGGGAGTGATGGTACCAGGACTGTCTTTTGGCAATGCAGTGCTGTGCATGAAATCTGAGGTTCAATCAGGGCTAGAAATTCGACAAAGAAGCGTAGGCAGATTGGCGCTGGGAGCACATGGAAAAACACCAAATGAGGGAGTACAGGGGGACATGGGATGGTCGTCTTTTGAGAGCAGGGAGGCAATTAGTAAGTTGAAATTTGAACAAAGGTTGACTGAAATGGAGGATACGCGGTGGGCACGTAAGGTATTCAAGTATTTATACATGAAAAGTTTAAACACAAAATGGACAAACCGAACCCAAAAGCTTACATTTAAATATCTACACACTGGTGATGGGGCTGAACAGACTACGTCAGTGAAAAAGAAGGTGAAAGAGGCGGAGAGGAAAATGTGGGAGGGGAGAATGCAGGAGAAATCAGCTTTAGTAGTGTACAGGTCACGAAAGCAGGAGATAAGAAAGGAAAAGCTATTTGACAATTCACTGGGAAGTGCTTTGCTGTTCGAGGCAAGAACGGGAGTTTTGAGGACAAGGACATATAGGGCTAAATTTCAGGAGACCGACACGTTATGTGCCGCCTGCCATAATGATAGCGAGACACTGGAGCACTTGGTTTTGAAGTGCACGAGGCTTCGTCCTGCCCTCCCTGAAGGGGTAACGGATTTGGCCGGGGCCCTGGGTTTTACTGGCGACGATGGAAGGATGGTAGAGAAAAAGAATACAGTGACAAAGAGACGATTAGAAGATTGGTGGAAATTATCTAGGGAAAATTAAATGATGGACAACTAACTAGCACAGCTGGGAACAGGCGGGACAGAGGAAAATTGGGACTCCCTCCCGCGTGGCTCCGGCCCAAAGTCTCAACCCTGTCTCCCAGTGGGTTCGGTGCTGGGGTAACGCCGAAAAGGTTTGACCAGAGGAAAATTGGCGACTCCCTCGCCGGGGGGAAGAGGCAGGGGGGTGATGTTTTTTAGTTTTTTTGCCCGATCCCCCGAAGGTCATCCTGGTGATATCCCACACTGCCTGGTGATAGTTAGGGGGAGAAAAATTGGTCTTAAAAGGGCGGGAGGAATCACGGTTTTGTCTTTTTAGACTTAGGCTAGGCGGCGCAAGCTACCACCCGTTACAAAGGGAATAGCCATTAACATCCATCCATCCATCCATTGTCTCCTACGCGCATCTGGCTCAACACACAAATCGCGCATTGTACCAAACGGTCCAAGAAGACGGAAAGGAAGGACTCCCCTCATTCTCGGACCCTCGTTCGTGCAACCGGAAACAGTCATTCTCCCCCTAGAAGATTAGCCCGTCGCTCAAAACTCGAAAAGTTGCTTTCCCCACCCCGTTTAGCCCTAAGCTGACAGTGTTGTGGAAGCTACGTGCTCCTTGGGCCAGCCCACGAGGGCCAGCCACACGCTCGTCACGCCACGGGTACTTCGAACGGCTCGGTTGTAACGCGCTGACGCTATTGACACCGCCACAACGCTGCCAGCGCCACCAAGGGCAAAGCTGATAACCACGCCTGCCTTGCTACTCCACGAACGCGGGGAATCTTTTCTTTCTGGTTTTGTTTGCGCCGGATATCCCATGACGCATCGCGCTCTCCGTTCGCTTCTCTTCGAGCGCTTGCTCGAGTGCACCGTTTGGAACGAAAAATATAACCAGTCGTTCAAAATACAAACGTGCGATTATCATTTACGGTTATTATCCCTCATACTTGATTCACTTCCGAACGAAATTTGAATATTTCAATTTTTGTTTCCGTACCCCTTTAAAGAACACAACTGTGATGATGATTTAATGAATGATGATGATGAAATAATTTTGACTAAAGAGAGTGACCACAAGGGTATACTGAAAGAATCGCTAACAATGATGAAACCTAGAAATCTATTAGTGCCTTCCCTGTGTTTTGCCATTGAGTGGAAGAAGTTTCTTGGCCTATATTTTTGTTAGAAACAGGTGTGATGCGTTCGTCTTTTTAAATCTTGATGTTGTGCATATTTTTTATTTCCTAGGTTGAAAGCTCAAGGCATTCCTTGTTGTTTGTTCAATCACATTTACCCAAATGTTAGTAGGTTGCTTTTTTATGTTTACTGTCCTTGGGTATGTCAGGGGTTGTGAACAGTAAAACGCTGCAAGGCACAGGAAGGAATTCCCTTTGTAAAGTGGTGGCAAGCAGAAGAGAAATTGTAAAGACTGACTTCATGTCTTCCCCTACGTTTTCTTTTTTGGGTCGCCTATTCATTTTTTGCCAATTAATACTCATCTGTGTTTGATACTTCTCTGCGTTTGTGTCATCCTTCAGAGAACCCGTCTTTAATAAATTATTTGTTTGCCTGTTTGGCTAGCTTGCACCTTCGTTTTTGTTTATTAATAAATGACTGTAGGATTCGACTGTAGGATGACTGTAG